TCTGAACTCAGGTTGGCGCTATAGGTGCTAGTGCTGTTGTGCTCTGATTAGGTGAGTAATGTAAAGGGCAATTAGCATAGCATGCATTTTACAAGAAACAGGCTCAAGAGAAACCACTGGGGCTGAGCAGTATTTGATGTTATGTGTGTCCGTGTGAACCCCGGCGGGGAGAAGCGGGCGGAGGAAAGGTATGGTTGAATGCTTTGTCCAAGAGTGTCTATTCCTAGGTGGCCTGAGGTAAGCAGCTGGCTCTGATAGATCCCGTTCTGCATAAGGCTGTGGAGGACTCTGTGCTGGTATCGCATGGGCAGAAGATGGGCAGGTGGTGACGCTTCCCCCCCCCTCTTCTTTGACAGACTCATAGTTCTAGGTACCCTTCTCCCCTAGGCCGGGGTCCGCTGTTTTCTCTGCCCCATCGTTCGTCCAGACAGTTGTTGTGGCTCCATGTCGCAGGAGCGGTGAGGTAGGTGCTCTGAGCCGCCACCATATTGGGCTGTGGGCCTTGCGTGTTCTGCACCCTTTAGTCAGCTCGTCAGTTGGCTTGAGTTCGTCCCAGTGGGGATCCGTATGACCCCCACGGCCCGGGGGTGGGGGGAACAGGGACCGGCTAGAGTTCAACATACCAGCGTGTGGCAGTATGGTAGGGAGACGGGGCAGCGGCCATCCACCCCACTCCCCCCAGAGTTGGCCGCGGCCTCTGAAGTCTTGCGTTGTGTGAGTGTTTTCAGGTTCTTTGTGAGTGTGAACAGCTGCCTATTATAGCTTAAAGGCCCAATTCCTCTGGAGCCTCTCCGCCATGCGACCGGTCAGCATGGCGGTCCGGCCCCGCCCCCGAGATTTAGTATTTTTATGTGTGTTTATTTGATATATTTGTTATTTTTATTTCTGTATAATAAAATACATCTTTGAGGAATTATCTGTTTTTCTTGGAATCCATCTTTGGGAATCAGATTCTGTGGCCATAAGTGGCACTGTTGCACACTTTATACAGAGCCTGGCACATTTCTGGGCCATGTGAGTGACACTTTAACCCCATCCTTTAGTCATTATTGTTGATACAGTTGACACTGTGTGTTTTTAATTATTGTGTTTTAGGAATCTTATACTGTTTTGGGATTCCAGAAACAATATTGTGTTTTGTATTTTACACGTATGCACTAGGCGTTACTTCAACAATTTTTTGCATTGTTTTATTATCTTTTTGAGTGTTGGTGAAGCACTTTTATATCAGTTTGACACATTTTAAAGCACTTATATATTTATGAAGAGCCTAACACACTTTTTGTTGCTGTTTACTTTTCTTAATGCTAAACGCTTAGGGAAACCCTCTTATCTTTTTTAAAGTTTTTGTTCATGCTGTCAAAAGTCAGAAGGAACGAATGATCCAAGGCCAATGTGTCTCATTCTGCCCACTAAATGGTTGAGACCTACGAATCTCATAGTATGAAGTACAGTGCACTCTTTAGGTTTGAGGATACTACTCTAAGCCCTGTTGCTTTCTTCTTATGTTTCTGTTTACAGTGTTTACGTTCGGAAAGAATTAAAGACCTGAGACCTGCATATTTTACCTCAATAAGTGCTTGGCCTGTCTCTAACGACTGAACGAGCATAAGTGACAAGTCATCAATCCTACCCTTGCCTATTTTGCGTTTACATCGTGGCACTTTATATTTTTTATACTTGCTTTCATCTCAATAAAAATATGATTTGCAAAAAAAATTGTGTAAACTTTTGCCATATTTTCTGTCAAAAAAAAGAAATTTACAAAAATATATATATTTTACCGACAAGCAGAAATTAGAAAATGATAAACTGAAACGAAATGAAATACATTTTTCACTCATGCACATCCCTACTGTGGGATGATATTGCATGTGCTTTTGAAGAAACTAGGGATTGGTTAATAAATCTAAGAATTCAGAATTTGTTATCCTATGCTACTTGCCACTAAAAGCACACATTTACAATAACTTGTAAGGTTACATACTGTGTATTCACATTGAGCTACTCTACTCACTCATTCGCATATATACTTAACTAGCCATGCACACAGCTACTCAGACTCACACATACATACGCTACACACACTCACACACAATCATATTAAGGAGGGGGGAAAAATACACCTCTTTATGCGTTTGTGAAAAAGGTTTTCTGATGTATTGAAAAAGATAAACATTTAAGAAGCCTTAAGAATGACCTTCCTGAGGTTTCCTTCTAGGTGGCAGTGTTTAATGAAAACAATCTCCGAAAACCACGTTGCTGTCCTGCAAATCTGGTCCAGCATGAGATATGCATCTTCTGCCCAGGATGCTGAAAACACTCTACTGGAACGGACAGTTATGTTGATACCATAGTTCATATGAAAGCTGGAGACACAAGCACACTGGGATATTTCATAGGATAATTCTTTCTTGGATCTCCTGCAATGTCTCAAATGCAGGACCCTGCAAAGCGGACATCACCAGAGCCAGTTCCCATGGTGGACAAAAAGACCTCATAGAAGAATATTTCTGCTTTACTTCTTTCATAAATCTAGCTAAATTCGAGTCCAAAGTCCAACAGAAGCCTGAAAATGCTGACCAACACAAGTACTTTAAGGGGTTTTGTGGCTTAAACCCTTGCCTAATATATTCTGAAGAAAACTAAGGACCAGACTTGGACAAAATTTGACCTAGGCATTTAAAGGTAGAGCAGCCCAGAGATGGGGTAGATTCAGAGAGGGGACCTGCTTTGTCAGCACCACTAACAGGTATGACTTTCCCCCCTAATTAGGAATGTCAGTTCTGTACCTATCCAGGTCAGCCCATGCGGAGAGGCCTGCTGAAGAGCTCTTGCATGGGGAAAATTCCTGTGTTTCTTCAGCACACCACAAGCGAATTAAATGACATGCTTGCTTTGTGTCAGGATATGGAAAGATCCTCAGCAAGGTAGAAGTCAGCGACCTAAAGACAAAGTGAGAACAGATAGATGTTAAAATGGTTGAACTTAATGCTAGACAAAAATAGGAAAGGTCAGTGCTAATATGAACAAAATAACATTAAGTTAACAAAGTTAGACAAAATGCAGTCAAGGTGAGATGGAACTGTAACACTAGAACTCAGGAACAGTGGCAAGGAAAACCCATAGTCAGGGAAAGACTGGGTCTGGAACACAGAAAAAGCAATCTGGCTCAATGGTAAGCCGGATCAGAAAATACACAGGAACCAAGTAATGCACTTAAGGAACTAGAGACCAGAAAAGGGCACTGGTCTGGACGTCAGAGGTATTTAAATAGGACTTGGCCACTTGCGTTATAAATGCAGGGCAACAACTAATTAAGAGAAATATGAGATAAGGTCGCAGCTCACATCACTTAGAATGGATGATGGAAAGAATAGTTACAATGGTGCTGCACTCAGATGGAACAGTTTGGCATGGATTTAATGAGGATGCTTCAATCTGAGTGAGTGGTCTGTGATGTTGACGTGAGTACCATGTCTGTTGAGAGCAAGATGTTGGAGGTCCATTGTAATAGGTAAGTGCCCTTGTATTTTGACATTGGTATCTGGAATGTTTGTGAGATCCTTTTTTATGCAAGTGCATTAGTATTGGAATGGGATTACATTTCCAGATTAAGATGCAGATGCATCAATATTGGATGTGGACCTTATACTAGGTGTTTGCTGATGATGAGTCTTTGGTTTCCACATAAGTGGGACACCAGAAGACAAAAGCTGGACATGGCTGGAAGAGGGTGATATGTGTGGGGGAAGGCTGCCTGTTTGGTGTTGTATGTGATTGGGGGGAATTTTCCCCGAACATAGATTTGCAGGATTCCATGCACGAGTGAACTGGCCTATTTTGGGGGGAATTTCCCTTAAAGTACACCTGCTTTCTAGCACATGATTGCTAATGTTTCCCCCCGAATAAGACATCCCCCGAAATTAAGCCTTAGTGCGTTTTTGAGGGGACAAATTAATATAAGATCCTGTATTATTTTCAGGGAAACACAGTAATTACTAGTCTATTGAATCCTCTGCACAGATATCCCCTACCAATTTAATATTAGATAAAGATTTCAAGAGGCAAAACATGCTGACACTCTCTTTAATGTCCACCTCCAACTTCTCTTTTTGTTGTTTCAGAATTCTGGAGAATGAGGTGAGTGCTGCTGCAGGATGGAGGTCAGCTCCTGAGGCCACATAAACCTTAGACAGTTTATCAGTTTTCCTCTCCATAGTATCAAAAAGAGATTTCACGTAATCCACTGGCAAAGTAATCTGCATCACTAGCTTTACCACTGCATTAACCACTATGGGAGCTGCATTCCAAGATGGGGGAATGTGTTTATGCCTGAATGCATAATTTTCCTTTAAATTAGCTGGAAAACTGTAGATCAAGTAACGCTTCCTAAACACTTTCCATAAATGGTGAAAGGTGAAAAAAAATAGATGCAAAGGTCATCTGACAACCCCACCATAAATACTTTTCCAGTTATTTCAGCTTCCTCTGAGAAAGTCAAAACCAAAAAATTATATAGTTCTGGCAATGTTGAAGCACATATACGTTTAGTCAAGCTTGTAAGCAGATGTGCTGTGCAAATAGAGACCAACCATGCAAAATGTATTATGTCCCACATGTTGAAAAGATTCTTGGAATAACTATCTAAATCATGTCTTGTACAAGTTAAGAGCACGATTAAAATGTGTGTCAAATCCTTACATTCCATCTTTCATTGTAAGGCTAGTGTGCAAAAAGTGATGTGCTTCACACACCACGTGGCACATGGACTGTGAGTTGTAGTGCTGAACTGGTCTTAATACATTGTGTTCTTTAAACCAGACTCAATTTGTGGTCTTCATCTCGGTATTCTGAACAACCTTTCGGTAAACAGGCAATGACCTCGGCAAATATAAGCACTTAAATAGTGTCAACAGTGATGTCCCGAACGGTTCGCCGAACGGTTCGCCGCGGACGGCGAACATAAACATAAACTTTGACCCTGTACCTCACAGTCAGCAGACACATTCCAGCCAATAAGCAGCAGACCCTCCCTCCCAGACCCTCCCACCTCCTGGACAGCATCCATTTTACATTCATTGTGAAGCTGCATTCTTAGTGAGCTGTCCAGGAGGTGGGAGGGTCTGGGAGGGAGGGTCTGCTGCTGATTGGCTGGAATGTGTCTGCTGACCGTTCGGCGAACCATTCAGGACATCACTAATTGTCAACTTTTCTTCAATACTGGTACATGATAATTACAGTCTTCGCCCTCTATTCTGTCTAAGTATAGTAGATAATATACAGGCTGAATGTATCCTGTAGTGCTAATGGTTTGTAACTTTTGCCTCTTTTAATAACTATATTAAAACGTTTATGTGTGAATTTTGACACCTTTTACTAACAAAATAATTTCCTCCTTTATTTAATTGCTTAATGTCCCAGTGTCCATACACTGTCTGTGTTCCCCAACTCCTCTCTCCCCACCCCCCCCACCCCCCTCAAAAAAAAAAAATCAATAAAAGATTATGACTACAGTTTGTCATTATTCATAATGCACACACACAGAGAGCACCTGTACTGTGCTGTAAAGAACAGTAAAGTGTTAGACACTCCCCGGCCCCCGGTCTCCCCTCTCTGTGTGTGTGTGTGTGTGTGTGTGTGTGTGTGTGTGTGAGGGGAAGGTGTTGTGTGCGGGGAGCAGTGCGCGCGCTCTTTCACCACGCTCCCCAGCATTGTGCTGAGAGTCATCAGTTATGCACGGGCGCCGGCGCGCGCTGCGGAGGCTCCAAGATGGCGACGGCCGCAGTTCCTCCTGCTGCAGCCTCCCCACCTCTGCAGTCCGGCGGCGCCTGCAGGGACTCACGCTAGCGGCCGGAAAAGTAAGTGCGAGGGCAACCCGCGAATAACTTTCTATAGACACGATATAAAATGACAGGGCTAGGACCGGTGCAGGACTCTAAAGAGAAGTGCCCCGGGGACCGGCCCATTGCTGAATGTGGGTCTGGAGGAGGGAATGTGGATCGGCTGCTGCTGCTAGGGGCCCGCTATAGGGAGGAAGGGAGATCCGGCTCAGCCAACTGCCGCAGAGACCTTACTGGCATTTAACTTTGTGGGAGTGGGAGTCCCCCCAGTCACCTGCATGCCCTGTAGCTGAGCCCTTTGCAGAGGGCATCCCATCATCTCATCACACCCCTTGAGCCCCGACATCAGTCTGGCCAATACCCAGGGGGTGCAGAGACTGAGAGATGGGTGTCTTATTTTGGGGGGGTCACTGCACCAACCCAATCCCACCCTGACCCTATTGAAAGTGGCCTGATTTATTTCCTGTGGGATGGTGCTGCATCCTTGTGGTGAGTCCTAGTCAGTGATTACCAGCACCCCCACTTACCCCTAAAAAGTAACTCACAGTGGGGTGCCCAGGTATATTGAATGGAAACACCAAACTCCCCCTCTCCTCCCCCATAAAGAGTGCGATGAAATTCACAAGGTGTCATCACTTTCTGTCCCCTGCCCCTCCCTGGCACGCGAGCTGTGAGCACTGAATGTATAGAGAGGGATGGGGGGCTGGACAGCTCCATTAAATCCTGGAAGGAGGTGCTGCCGAGGCTTACACTCCTGCCAGAGTTTGGATCTGAGGTACCCCTCGTTATTCTCCGAGGGGGTAAAGAGACTGGGAGGTATGCGGGTGTGGTGGGTGTAGAATCCTGCGCATTGTGCTCTGTTCTGTGTGTTCCATCCTGTGTGTTCCATGTGTAGAGCAGGTTAGAATGCTGAGATCTGATACATTGTATTGCAGTAGTGCTGTGAATGGCCGGGGCGGTGAGTCTTGCAGTATAGATACAGTAATACAGGCGGCTTTCCTATCTGTTTCAGCATGTTGGATGTAACCTGCCCCTGTACACTGCAGTATTTTTTTCCCTCTTGTGAAGCCTGTGGCCCTTACGTCCTGCAACGAAAAAATGTACATGCACAGATCAGCTTTTTTCCTGCCTGTAAATTGAATGCTGATTGTCCCACGCTGTTAGGTTTTATTAGATAAATGTGAATGAAAGGGTTTTTTAAGTACTGATGGTGTTCCTATGTTTGTGGGAAATAGTACATCCAACCTGGTACAGGGGGGACTTAATGCAGCTTTGAGTGCTTCACCTTTTTTATATATATTTTTTTTACATTAAGCTAGTTTATATCTAAATAAAATGCATCTAACTCTCATTATGTGTTTGATTTCTAATTCCACCATTAGAATCGTTGCACATACTCTATAGCACCTTATAAAAGACTAAGCTTATCAGGATATGATATGTCGTCTGATGAGTTAGTCACATGTACCGTTTTTAGGCTGTGGCCAGCATAATGTCCCTTCTTGGAGTGAGAATATCCATATATTTATATGCCCTGTTGGCACATGTCCAGCATGTTAGCATGAGTGTTCAGACAATGAATGCTGGTAGTGGTACTCGATGGACAGCTCCTAGAAACTGCTGGCCTCAGTTTATAGTGCTGCTGTATAAAAGGGGTGCTGAATGGACAGCTCCTTAAGAAAGCAGTTCTTGTTTTTTTATAGTAATGTCTTGTAGAACTTACAATAAACTAAAGCTGCATCATTTAGCAAACATTACATATTCCATTGTAAGTGCAATGTGTTGCAGTGTGTTTTAACATTTTTGTACTTTCAGAAAATATATATTGTATTTTGTTTCTTAAATATTGGCAAGTAACTTGGAAAAAAGCATAATAAATAATCTTTTAAGTTTTCATGAGTTACAAAACACCGCCAGATTGTTAAACTATGTTGCTGCATTATTGAAATTTAAAAAAATGATTTTCAATTGTGAATACATTCATTGCTAAATCTTTTACTTTAGATGAAAATCACCATTTTTATCTGCTTTTTTTTTTTTTTTTTAAATATGCCCACCTTTTGTATTTCAGAGTTTTGATATCTACTTTGAAAATTAAATATGCTTTGTCCTTTGTACAACTTTTATATTTTTTATATGATATTTTTAACTGAAATTTTTAAAATTCAATAATTTTTTTTTTTTTTTACCTTTCATTATCTGTAGTGTCATGAATTTATTATTCACTAGATTTGCAGGTCTGACAATAGAGCCAGGTTTATATTGAATTTAAATCACAACGTGTAATCTTTTTGAAAGTTAAAATGCAATCGAAGTATTTTAAACAACAAGCTAGAAAACCCCCTAAAATAAATGTACCTTATAGCATCATTACAAGCAAAGTGATTTAAAATCGATTGAATTTGAGACATAGTAGAAAAGTGTAAATTCTACTCACACTCTCTATAGGAAAAATAATGTTCTAATATCTTTTACAAATTTATGTTTTTTGATTAGTTTTTTTTGTTGTAAGTTTTTCTTTATTCACAATCCACAAATAGTATTACATGACAAGTGTTGACAACACAATTATTGTATGTGGGTTATTAGTTAAATGTAATATAGAATATCAAATGAGAACTATGCATTCTACCCCTGTGTAATATGTTGAGATTGAGAGTTATAGGATTAAGTACATAAGGGCAAGGAGCACAAGATGCCTCAAAAATAGTAAGCAAAGTTCTAAGGTTTAAGAACCTAAATGTAAGCTGCAGAGGTTTAATTTCCCCCCCCCCCCACTATAAAATATTTATAATAGTGTGAACGGGTTTATATATGGTGGAGGAAAGGGGAGGGGGGTTGGGGAGATTTTATGATGGGGGATCTAACTCCCGCTATTACGAAGGTAAAGTCAAAGTTGCAAATTCAAGTATTTTTATATACTTGAATATGCAAAGTGATTTGTTTAAAATTCCATTTTACCTTTATAAAATGTGCAATGTTACAAGACAGTCAGAAGACTTTCTGAAGTACCTGACATTGCAATCATTTGGAAAATTTGAATACATTAGGAAACTAGAACTATTGGGAGGAGAAAGTATACATTTGGCCAGATTACAGTCAAGATGAACAATATCTATGGAAATTGTTAATCTAAGCAGTATAAATGATCCTTTTTATCATGCATGGCATTTCTAGCCAAACTATCATAAATGTTGCCTAAAATGAGGTCTTATTTTTGAATAGTGTAACTTTATATATCAAAAACAATAGCATCAGAATGATTACTCTTTTACAGACACAAATAACCAGTTCTATTTTTCTGATGCGTGAGTTTACTTGTATACTTGAAATTCAATTTGGCATACCTATTGCTCATTGTACAAAATGTACTTGGTGTTTCCGGGAATTCCTTGGCGTACTATATTCATATTTACTGCTAATGTGGATAATTTTGTGGGCTGCTGTGATCAATGCTGCCACTTTCAGTCTGCAAATATTCTTAGAGAATAACCCATGGGTATAATGATGTGCATGGACCTGCACTCTACTGTCACTTGGGGTCATGCTTTTATAATTCTGGGTGATATAGAGGGGAGAATACCAGTATGGAACTTTGTCAGAACCATTAAATTAACAAATGGGGTTGGGAAAAATCTCCTTGCCAAAGACAAGGCTTGCATTTGCATATACATCTTTGATCCCACCCTGGAAATGCAAGATGTTCTTATTTAATAATATGTAGGGATCCACTGTGTACTAAGTGTCTAATTTAGGTCCTCCAGAATTAGGTGTGAAATAAAATATATTATGCATCATATACATCTGTAAGAATAATATAAATGTCCTGCTTTTTCTTTTACTTAATTCAAAAGCATTGAGAATTAGCATTTGCGCTTTACAAATACGTATTTGTGAATGCTACTTTTTTTTTATTGGTGCCATGGCTTTTTTAGTACATTTCTACAGCTGGTCCTTAGAGAACAGAAAAAGTGACAGGAATGAAGAATGTTTCTCCCTTTTCACAGATGTGTTAATGTTAGATTCACCTATTTTGATTAAGTGGTTGGAGATTCCCTGATTTAGAGTGTGTCCTTAAATTGACAGTACGATAAAGCAAAAAAATAAAAAAAAATATATATATATATATAAATATAATAATATTAATGTCCATAACAAGAGACAAAAACTCAAAACCTCAAAAGCTTATTTCCCAAGATAAGAAAAAAAGTATTTAATGAAAGATTTTCTTAGAAGGAGTAGAGATTAATATTTTTTTGAAAGAGCGAAAGGAAGTGAAGTTCTCTCAGGCTGTCATGGTGTCTGTAGTACCAAACATAATTTGC